CGGTTTCGGGCATGGGCGGGTCCCCACTTCCTGGGGGGGGGGGAGGGGAAGCAATAGGCTTTGTCCTGAGGTTTCACACGGCTCATTTGGCTTCAACAGGCAGCCCTGTGGGCAGGCCCAGGTGGTTGCAGGGCGTAATGCTGCTGCCTTGTGGGGTGAGTTAAACAGTGACCACGTTTTACGAGGCAAACTGACAGGAGAACTCGATGGCATGGGACACAGAAGTCGCGAGCAAGCTGATGCCAGGCAGCAGCCAGTGGGAGTTGGCTCACGTCTAAGGCCGATGCTGGCGCCTGGCCGGGGCACAGCTGTCTGACCGCGGCGTGCCAGATTGCTTCTGGCTATGGGCTGGGAGTGAGGCCCAGGGCCTGCCAGTGCCACAGCATCCCCTGCCCCACGTGGGTCAGCTGGCACACCCCGGTGAGGGGCGTGCCCTCCCCAGGGCTGCTCAGGGCAGGGGGTGCCTGGCCCCGGGCCCAGCCCAAGCCCACGGGTGCCAAACCACTGCCAACGCGGGGTGTTCCCGCCACGCCAGAGAGGAGTGCGCCGAGAGCCGCCGCGCTGTTGCCCCACCGGGTACTCTCCCCTGGATTTCTGCCCCGAGCTATACACACCGTGGCATCCTGCCTCTGGGCCTAGCTCCCTGTCCTGCCCCACAGGGCTGGCCCCACGTGGTGGGGTCTGTGCACGGCAGGTACAGTGCTGCCAGCGGGCTGTGTTGGCACAGGGAGGTGACCTAGTACTATGAACTGAATGCCCAGTCTTAGGAGCCCAGCCACAGGCCCCTAGGGCTGCGCCCAGCCCCACAGCTTGACCGTAGGCCCATGGCTGCCACGGTCGCCCCGCAGCTGAGTGTGTATCAGTGCTGAGCTGGGAGGGGACGTCACCACCCCGCCCCCTCCAGCCCGGTGCGGGACGGGTGTAGAACCCAGCCATGGGACTTGGCACCTGCAGGCCCTGCCTCCCCACTGGCCCACGCAGGCGCTGCCCCAGCCGGGCCCAGCCCACGGTCACCTTCACGCTTCACCTGGGTGTGGTGCCCTGAGTGTGTGTGCACAGCGCCAGGGCCGGGCCACCGGGTGCCCAGGGCCGGGGAGCCAGTTGCGCAGCCTGGCTGGGCCTAGCCCTGCCCACAGCAAGGATGGGGTCCGTGGAGGGGGAGGAGAGCGGGGCATATTTAAGGGCCTTGTGCTGTGTGCTCTCAGCGCATTCGGTGTGAGCGGCCACAGAGCGACGCCTGCGAAACCTTCTTGTGCTGCCATCGGGCAGGTCTGTTCAGGTGCTAGGGGCTGGAGTTAGTATTGTCTACGCAATGGGCCACTCCTGCGGGGGGAGGTGCGTGGGGGGGAATAGGCAGAGAAATTACGTATTTGTGCGTGTGTGTGAGTGGGGATACATATTTAGCGCTGTGTGGGGTGATGTGTGCATGTCCCGCATACAATTATAATGTGTAAACAAACAAAAGTGCTAATTGCACCTGGAGTTCAGAAGCCGTGGCATTTAGGGAGGTAGGTGTGTGTAGGGGAAGGTTCCAGGGAAGGGGAAATGTTCTCCCAGGTAGTCTCATGCCAGCAACTGACTGTTTTGGTTTGTTTGGCTTTGGAAGGGGGCGGGTTTGGAGCAACACAAAATTCACATTTTTCAGAATGTTTGGTGAATCATGACACTGGAAAACGTTTCATTCGGGGTCCAATGCCTGGCCACACTGATGGCCCGGAGAGTTTGGCTGTGCAGGGGTGCAGGCTGTTGGCAGGGACTGCGCTGCCTCCTGGCTGGCACTGCCTGGCCCAGGTTTGCTGCACCGGTGCGAGAGTGGTGCGGGGCAGGAGATGGGGGGAACCCTTCTGACCAGGCGCCTCCTTCCCGTGCAGGTGCTGCTGGACACCCCGGCATGTGGAATCCAAATGCAGGTGAGCCCCAGCTCAGACTGGCCGGCCTGCTGGTGGGAGTGGGGGGAGCTGGGCCGGGCTGTTCCTGGCGGCTTAGCTTGAAGCTGGGTACCTGAGGCTGCTTCCTAGGCCTGGACTCAGGCCAGGTGCTCGGTCGGCTGGGGAGACAGACGCGTGGAGGGTGCTGTGTGTGGCCCTGGCTAACGGGGGGATGGGCTGTGAGCCAGGCAGTGGGGCTGTGCCTGAGGAAGGACTGCAGCACCCAACCCTCCAGTAGTGTGTGCCTATCTGCATACAACTGAGTAGTATCATGCTGACAGCATTCGTCACCGTAACTGTTTTGACAGTTTCACGACCTTGGCCCTGATCGCTGTTTCCAGTCAGGTGCGTTTGGTGCTGCTGGCCATTTTGAACAGGCAGTTCTGTTTGTACATAGATCTCACCCTGCTGCCATACAGAACGGCATGGCCCCAGTATTTCTAACAGCGTGGATTCCTCTGCGTAGCACGCCAGTGAGCCACGAGAACCCGGGGGGGAGCAGCTCCTGTGGGCATGGCCAAGCTGCCGGGCAGACTGGGAGGATGGTGGCTGTGTGAGCGGAGTGTGGGAGCCATGCCTGGGGCCAGTGCATGTCTCAGCACTGCGGGCAACCCCTGAGAGTGGAGGAGTGAAGGGGACTGGCCAAGGGATCTAACGTGTCATCTCTGCTTGCCCCTTCTCTGGCAGGATCCCCTTGTGGGACACCACCACTAACCACATCTCATTGTCACCATGTGTCCGGACCACCCCCACGCAGGCCTCCCCCAGGGCCTTGCATGCATCCTTGCCCTCACGTTGTCCGTCCTCCTCCCCCTCGTCATCTCATCAGACCCCACCCACATGCACACTACTACCCTGGGCACCACCCCCACGCGCCTGGCTGCCCTCCCCATCATGGGCATCCTCCCCAGCATTAGAGGCATGGCTGGTCACCGTGGAGACAAGGTACGGAGCCGGGTGACTGGCTGCAGAGGGCATCTTGCACCATTAGTGTCAGCTTGGGGCTAGGAGGCCGGGCAGGGCTCAGTGCCAGGCCTTGTCTCATACACGTCGGTCCCCTCCCTTTCAGCACGGCAGCAGCTCCCGGCGCCTCTGCCCGGCGTGGGCGCACCACGGGGACACAGCCACGGCAGAAGCCACGTGCAGCCGAAGAGCCCTGCTTCCCTGTCCGCTGCCCTTTGCTCCCACATCTAAATGAAGGGCCTGGCCCTTGTGGCGGGCGACTCTCTGCTCTTGGCTCGGCTCAGTGTCTGTCTGGGACGCTCCACGCCCACCCAGCCCCCTGCCCCAAAGCCATTTCCCTCCTCCCGTCACTCTCTGCCAGGTGGCAGCAGCAGCCACCAGGGCCATGGGCGGTACCCCAGGGCTCCTCTTCCCAATGCACCCCTGGACCTGGGAGAACCCTGAGCCTGAAACCTGAGAAAGCCACACGCTGCCCTGGACACCTCTGCAAGGCAATTCCTACCCATGGATGCCCCACATCTGGGCGCCACCCACAGAAAGCTCCAGGGACTCCACAGCGCGCACACAGGACGTACAACCCCGCCCTGGGTAGCGCCTTCGCCTCGGTTTCTACCTAGCACGGGAGAGCCCCCTGGCCAGCGTCCCCGGAACAGGGCAGGCTGTAGCACCCGTAGCATGCAGGGAGACGGGGACCCGTGACTGGCTGGGCAGCGGCATGGTACGGTACCTCAGTCCTCCGGGCCAGGGCCACCTCAGGGGCCCAAGGGGCCAGCGCCATACTGGCAGGAACAGGACGGTATTTGAGAGGCACGACGAGGAGGCTACCGCTGAGAGAAGAGCATGGGGGGGCTGCTCG